TTACATATATGCATATACATATATATATATACGTATACACGTGTATATATATATACATATACGTGTATATATATATGTATACATATATATATACATATATGTATATATACATATATATATATGTTACATACATACATACATACATACATACATACATAATTACATTACAATACATTACATTACATTACAATACATTACATTGCATAACATAACATTACATAACATTACATAACATAAAAGTACATAAAAGTACATAACATTACATTACATACATACATACATAACATACATAACATACATAACATACATAACATACATAACATATATAAGATACATAACATACATAACATACATAACATACATAACATACATAACATACATAACATACATAACATACATACCATACATACCATACATACCATACATACCATACATACCATACATACCAACATACATACATACATACATACATGCATACATACATACCATAACATACCATAACATACCATAACATACCATAACATACCATAACATACCATAACATACCATACCATACCATACCATTACATTACATTACATTACGTTACGTTACATTACATTACGTTACATTACATTACATTACGTTACATTACATTACATTACGTTACATTACATTACATTACGTTACATTACATTACATACATACATACATATATATATGTGTGTGTGTGTGCCAGGCATCGCTTGTAGTTGTGGTGGTTCCACTGGTTCCCCTTGGAAAAACAATACAGCAGGTTCATATCGATGTCATCACTCGTCCATTGCTTCCTTATAACTGGTATGGTCATCCCAAGAAACAAAAGCACATCATCAGCAGATTAGTAGTTGGATGTACCAAATGCATCCTTTTGAAGAAAGGTATCACATGTGTTCCATCTCAAAAGAAATTGGAGCATCATCATCATCATCATCATCGTCATCATCATCATCATCATCATCATCATCACCGTCATCATCATCACCGTCATCATCATCATCATCATCATCATCAGCAGCAGCAGCAGCAGCATCCCGGATTGATAAATTCATACCCTCTGGATCCCTCTGGTAAACTCACATAACTACGTATGGAAATCACCATGTTTAATAGTACATTGATGCTAGATGGCAATGTTCCAGCTCGCAAACTCTCAGGAACGAAATCACCCAGCAGCAGGCAGTGTCCTTGATCGGATAAGCGCCTTGGGTTGGCGAAACGAGGAATGAAATGGATTAGCCTCTAATCGTGGCGGAAAGGCGAGTTTTCATCTGGTGAAATAAAATGCGTTCAATATGGTTTTCTGGGTGGTGGCTTCAACCCCTCTGAAAAATATTAGTCGATTGGGATTATTATATATGGAAAAATACAACATGTGCCAAACCACCAACCAGTCATCATTTATAGGGTGATTTGCCGATAAAACCCCTCCTTTGAGGGATTCTCCCAGCGACAGAGCTGACACCCACCAAGCAGTTTGATGTCAGATACACTGGGCAAAGCAGCCATTGGTAATGAGAAACTATGGGAACTTGTGGGTTGTGGTTTACAGTGCCACACTTTAAAATTCCCCTGCCTTCAGTCCATGGAATATGGTCACCATGAAAAAATTGATCAGTGCCCACTTCACCATCTGTCATCCACCTGTTTTTTGGGGAAAGCTGAGGGCGTTGTGTCTCAGTGCGTGGATCGGCAATCCTCATTAAACATCATTAGACATCATTTGAACATCATTAAACATCATTAAACTATGTTAAACATCATTAAAAAAGGGTTAAACAAATCAATGCAACCCCAAATAATCAACCAATGATCAACCAGCATGCGTCAACTGGGTACAGCTCCAGCTCTGGATCTCCTCAAGCTCGCTCCTCAAATGACTTTACAAAACTGCTGATCATTATTAGGGGAATCTGAGCGTATTTACTTTCGAGCTGTCCGGAAAAAATCGGAGAAAAAAAAAAAATGTTTTTGATCATGAATCATGAGGATTGAACACCCCAAAAAAAGGCGACCCTGCCAATAATGGATGGTTAAGGTTACACATAAACCCAACCGAAAAACAGTAGTGGAGGGGTCACCGACCTGGGGTTGAATGGGTTGAATCCACAGGATCATTTTTGAGTCATGGAGATGATCCTTTCCCATGCCATGAGTCACGGGTTGCTTGGTGGGTGTCCCTATTATGATGTGATACCAATAAAGTGGGTTGGTCAACGCAACCCCCTGCGAATCATCAATCAACAGTGGTGTGTTCAACAGTTGGATTCCCAGTTCATTGATTTCATGAATGAAATCCCCAATGAACAAATTCGGCAAAGGCGGATTTTAAACCACTGAACTCATCAACCGGGGGTTGAATGCAGCCACTCATCTTCTCCATGGCCAAGCAGCTCGAGTGGAGAAACTTAAAAAGATCACTCCGCCGGAAGAGGTTCTCCTCCTCGCGAGAACACAACGCAAACCCAAGGAGTTTGGGCGGGGGCCGAGGGGCTCTGCTCATTCAAAAAGAACTAAAACACATTGGGGGTTACTGGGTTTATCATGGTTTACCATGTTCTTCTCAACCAAAGTGGAAATTTACACCAAGAATGCTGATCTCTCCTCACTCTATGAACCAAGAACCATGAACCATGACCAAAAAAGCGATACGACTCACCCAACTGGACTTGACCTTTTTTTTCAGTTCTGGCACCCCAATTCCCATGGTAAACACCCCTATTGTTTGATGGTCCAATGGTCGAATGGTCTAAGTGGTGATTATTATTGATTATTGCTGCTTCATTGATGTGAAAAGTAGACGTACACCGAGTATACCTATAGTTCCCCATGAATTATTGATAAATTCATCACCCATGAATCATCTTCGATGGTTCAAAACATCACCAACAATGAGTGTTGATGTTCATCAAATCAAAGTCCAAGAATGGTCATTGGTGAATCTCCATTAAACCACAATGATACCACGATTTTGCCTCATGAAATCACCACTTGTCAACCCTCCACCACCAGCTGCAGCAGGGCCCTTATTTCAGTCCGTCCTGTGCGCCGGCACCTGACCTAAAGCCACCCCCCGGCGAGTGCGGCGAAGCCATGTTGAGCACTGCAACGCTGTAGCCCTCGCTCCTGAATACTGAATACGTGGCGTGAAAATCCAAGTGGTGCTCCAGTTCTCGCACTTGGTGATGAAAATTACCATAATTGGTTTATAGATGGATCCTAACAAACTATGGTTTTTAAATAGATATAAATGGACGAACGAACTACAAATTGTGGGATGATAAAAAAAAGTTGTAGCAACCGGAGGATCATCTAACGAATTGTGGTTGTCCACCCAAAGCCATAGACCATGACTGGGGAAGGTTGAAACATCGCACCATAACACATGGTAATCATGTGTATATATATAATATGATATTATATATATATATCATATATATCATATATATCATATATATATAATATGATATCATATATATATATATATGTAATGGGGACAGTTCATGACATTGGCTTTACCACAGTTCGTGTTTTTTTTTCGCACTTACTCAGTTGGATGATCCAGGAAAAGTCATGGAAAAGTCACCCATCCCTACTGGTTGGTTGAAGATGTTGATAAGGATTGCCAGAACGGATTATGATAATCCCCAACATTATGATAATCCCCAGCAACCAACCATCATTGATTACGTACGGTATATTCACGTTATCAAAAAAAACAAAACATCAGCCACTGCGCCTGTGCAACTGCCCTGCACGTTCCAGAATGTCGCATTCAATCACCTCCCACTGCGATTTTTTTGAACGTGACCGCGGTGAAAAACCTTCAATGTACAACCGCGTAGAACTCAAAAATACCAGAACACACACACACGTGTATATATATATATATACATATTATACACACATTATGTATAATTGTAATTATATAAAATTATTAAATATATTATATATATTATACATATACAGTAATATATGTATTTGTATGTGTATATATATATATACGCATGTGTGCGTATGTATATAAAGATATAATACAGTATTTGGATATACCGTAGATATTTATCATCCACAACAAGGCCCCTGGTCATTTCACCCTGGCGACGAAACTTCGCTCCATGCCTCAACCTTGAGCTGTGGAGCAACCTGCACAGCTGTCGGTGATCCCAGACCAGGCATGGAAGGATTTTAGAAAATCCACCAGTTTTGAACAATTTGTGGATGATTATTTCTATATTCACAGGTTATTCAACCTAGATCAGCCAGCAAGCAAGCACACTGTTTTGTTCTTGAGCCATAAAGTCAGGTGATATACATAGTAGACTACAGGGCACACTTTACAGGGAGGTTACGGATACTACCTAATGACATCCCGTAAAAATACCCCCCGTTTACCGTGGCTGCTTGGCAGCCCCGGTAAAACAGTGCCTGCAGTCTGCCGCCGCGATGAGACCTGAGTAAGACAGTTGTACAGCTATACATTGGGTCGATGCGGATGCATTGTAGGGATAAAGGAATCGGATGTCAAGGCAATGGACGGATGCAAAGCATGCATTGCGTCGAGGGCTCTTTTTGCCAGAGATAGGCTCGGAGTTGCACACAGCATGGCCAAGGCTCCCGCCAGGCATCTTCAAATGGAATGAAGGAGCTTTACCATTCCTATAACGTCACTCCAAATGGATACCATGGCATGGAAAAACTGTACAGCCATGAAAAGTGTGAATCGATTTGATTTCTTGCCTTGAACATCCAATCTTATGGCCTGAGAAGTAATTGGAGTAAAATTTTAATTCATTCAAACTGTGCGGAAATTTGTGCATTTGAAGTTCACTTGAATGGGTAGATGCATAATGTGCGTCAAAGCTTTGGTTTGTTCAATGGGTGCGATGCCTGCCAAGTTTGTCATAGACAGGCATGCCTCCCGGCAAGCAAATTTGAAACAGGAAAGATATGACCTAAGTGTCAATGCGAGTCATCCCATAGTTCAGGTCCAGCGCCAGTACCAGCCTCGCTGTTGATTCCAGTACCACGTGTAGCGATAGCCCTGAACCCAGAAGGAATCTCCTTCAAAGTCACCGTAGGCCACACCTCCCGGTGGGCTTCTGCCTTGCTTGCCCTTCCCCTTCTGCTGTCCCTTCCCTTTGGTCTGTCCTCCACCTTTGTGATGACCTTTTCCACCACCACCACCCTGGCCGTAAGGACCGCCGCGAGCAGGCTTGCCAAGATTCGGTTCAAACTGCTCGTGATGGGGTCGTTCATGTTCAGGTCGGCTGATGGCTGCACTTGCATGAGGAAGACTGACCTCCCGGTCGTCGCCGGTGGTCTCAGACTCCTTGTGCGTCTGTTGGGAGGCAAAGTTCGACCATTGCAGCTTGCTGAACTCCACCAATTCTTTCGCGATCTCTTTGGCATCTGAAGCATCAGGCACAAAGTCACGATTGCCCCATCCATAAACAATGGGTAGAGGTCTTTGCCTTGGCTTGATGAACTTCGCCACGTAGACTGCGAATTGGCCAATGTCGAGAAAGACGCCCCGATGCGACACAAACACCTCGGTGTGAAGATCCAAGGGTTGGTCGGGCTCCTGCTCCGACGATGGCACAAAGATCAACTTGGTGGCCATCTCAAGCTTTTCACCAAGAACCTGAGCTTTGGTGCGCTCAATGGTCGGGCTCACGCAGCCAGCCAAACGCTCAATGAAGAGCAAGGCCTCCGGCACCAAGTTTTGATTCGCCGCATTGAACTGAAAGAACGGGTCGCGGACGAGTCGGTCAACAAGGTCTTTGAAGCCCCTTTTCTTGAAAGATCTGACGTAGTTCTTGGCCATGTCTCTCAAGTTGCCATAGGTGCTTCTGGTCCGGATGGCTGTCGAAGAAGATGATGATCCCTTCTCCGGCTGCCTGGCTACTCTGCCTCTTCGCGGGTGGTTGAAGATCACCTTGTCCATGGAGAAGGGCACTCCTCTGGTACGGGCCATCGCCTCCCGGCGGGCAACTTCCGTGGCGATGTTGGCATCGGTCACGGGTTCCATCTGCCGGGAGCAGCGCGGGCATTTCAAATGTCCATCCACCATCAGATATCCACAGATCGGATGGCCACAACGTACCTGAGGCGTGTCTTGGATCTGGTTGTAGGAAATGTCCTTGAATTGCAACTCAAATCCGTGTCGACCTTGCCCTCGACTCCAATTTCCACCACCGGGTCCATTCCGTCCACGACGTTGGAAGCCACAGGCATCCGTGCTTGTCATGGCGGCCATCTTTCCAAAGGTGTAGCCGGACACCAGCTGAGAACCTGATGCCGGCTCACCCTCCCGGGTGGCAGTACTCTTTTCGACTTCAATGTCTTCACGCCTGGAAAAGGGGAGGAGCTTGCCGAACTCAATGCGCTCTTTGATGCCTTCAAAGTTCAACTGGGCATTTTCCATCAACATTTCCATGCGGCTCATGAGAATATCCGTCGGATCAAACTCGGCCTTGGCCTGCTTGAGGACTTCCTGGTAAGCCTTCCGATGGTTGACATAAGCCCTGTTGATAAAGAAAAATTCGCCCGAACGCATATCAAAGGCGTTGATCATCGGCTGGTTCGAGATCCAGTCCGGCGACAGGATGGCCTCGTCAGTCGCGAAAAGTTTGTAGCCCATTTGCATCATGAGCTCCATGTCAAACGCGATGGCGATTGGCCTCCCGGCCCGCGTACCTTGCAACTTTTTCATTTCCGCTTTCCAGGGCGGAGTGGAGTTGAAAAAGTTGTGGGCTCTGCCCGTTTTGTACGGGAATCCGCCAGGGATCAGGCCGTGCTTGATGATGGAATTGAAGGCGGCTTGGTCACAGGTGTGATACACCACTCTGGGGAACTTGTGCCACACAGGCGAGCCTTCCGGCATCGCGGAGAATGCGGGGTGGACCGTTGGGTCGTCGATCTTGGTCTGGTCGAAGTTCTCATCAAAAGTGAACATCGTTTTGATCATGCTTGACATCCCCCCTTGCTCCACGAGAAAGGCCCGATGACCCTGAATGGCCCTGATCCTCACTGGCGTCCACCTGAGCTTTCCGGACGACAAGCCGTTCACCTGGACTCTGAAGCGACGCATCGGAGAGTTGCGCACAACCATCAAAACTTCTTCTTCTCGAAGGTGCGCAAAATCTCCTTGGAGATGCCTCACCAATGCCTTGAAGTCCATTGACAAATCAGTCCTCCGAATCTCAGGTGATGGCCTCCTGTGAAACATTCGATGGCCACGGAGGTAGTCGGACATAGCATGGGAAATTGATCCAAGCCTGCCGTAGTCCACCTTGCGCACAGGAACTCCTGCCATGTTGTCCGGCTCAATCCAAACCAGATCCTGTGCTGAGGCAAATTTCGACGTGTCAAACTGTTCAGCACTTGGCCCATGTCCCTCATCCACAACCTTCAATCTCTTTGGCATGGCCTTCTTCTTGGGCTTGAGCTTGGACGTCGGGTCAGAAGGCGTGGCTCCCGCCGACGCAGCTGCAGTGGTGTCAGTTCGCCATGTCTTTGCAGATGAGGTGCTCTGAGCCATGTCAGTTTTCCACGTCTTTGCCGATGACGAGCTCTGGGCCATCTCCGTCTTCCAGGTCTTCGCCGATGCCGTACTCTGGACCATCTTGTTGCCCTGATCATCAACATCCATGGGCTCCGGGTCCCCCCGTGCATCAGACTTCGAGGCCTGCATAGAAGAGACCTTGTCGATCACGGCCATGTCGTCATCGTCATCATCATCAATCGGCTCTGCCTGCCCCTCCTCAGCGTCGTGGAACTCCTCTTCATCGACAATCTCCACCGAAGCCACCGTCTCGAGGTCGTCAAGGTCCAGCTCCTTTTCCTCTTCATGTACTGGGTCACTGGCCACGACTCCCGGCGGGCGTTTGTCATCCTCAATGAGGTCCCACCCTTTGAAGTCCTCGTCTTCATCCTCAGCCGCATAGGTGGCATCTTGCCATTCTTGGTCGTGCTCCTCTGAAAGGCCTTTTCGCCTCGCCAAAATTCGATCATCCATGGTGAGGGCCTGAACTTTGACAGCCTCATCGTCCGAATCAGCGTTGTCATGGTGCATTGGTTCCAATGCCTGGTCCTCTTCAGGAATGTCACGCAACCAGGACTCGACCTCCCGGTCGGCAGAGGCTGTGGCGCTCTCCTCAGCTTGAAGCACCCAGTTGAAAATCTCGACATCTGCATCCAACATGAGCTTCTCAGGATCAGGTCGCTGAGGAAGATCTTTTGGAGAGGATACATTCGAATCGATTTCAAGCTGGTACGCGGCCTTGAGGATGGTGAGGTTCGGGTAGTTCTTCTGCTCCTGGAGATCGTCAATTCTTGGGAGCGTTCTCAAGTGATCGTCGACGCTGATGAGCTTGAGGTAGGCAAGGTGGCAATCAGCGACGGCTTGGAGGAAGTTGGTGACATACTTCCGGTTGATGTCGTCGTCTTCCAAATGCACCTTGTCATATCTCACAGTTCTGGCAAGCATCAAGGTGGTGTCCAAAGTTTGAATACCATGGTCCTCTCGAAGTGCCCTGATGTGGACCCGCATGGTCTCATTGTAGGCTGACGGGAGAGCAAAGATTTCCGCGTCAGCGTTCCCAACGACCACGATGTCCAGGATCCGAGGCTCATCACGTTTGAGCTGGCCCAGTTCGTTGACGGACCGCTCGACTCTTGCCTTTTGCCGTTCACACCAGTTGGCCGTGACCTCCCGGTCGGCAGCAGACTTGTTGTAGGCAGCCCTGTGGATCCAATGGACACCTCTGTAACCCCCTTCGCCAAACACATCATTGCCGGCCCACCCCACTATGACCAACACCGGCAAAACCGGGCGACCATGTGCACGATTGGTGGACTCGATGTCATCGATGGCCTCGGGGATGTACTGCACCATGTGGTTCAAACCTTTGCCCCACAACATTTTTGTGTAAATGCCACGGATGTCTCCCCAGGGCTTCAAAAGATCGCCTCCGGAAAAACACGAAGCCTTCCCTGCTTGGGGGTCAGGTACCAGAGCAAGAGATGAGTCTGATACGATCAGCAGGTCGACCTCGCCTCCCGGCGGGTAGGGGCACATGGCCAAGAACCCATCGGGCGTGTTCTTGTAGACCTCCGCGAGCGTGTCGTATGCCCCTTCAGCATTGCCACCACCCAGCATCGGCTCGACGATATTCGCCAGGGGTAGGCGGCATCCCTCCATCTCTCGCAAGAGCACCTGTGGGTCGTCCCACGTCGCAACCGCAATGGCTGCCTTCAGGGTGTTGACCACACTTTCCCATTGGGTGATGCGCTCGAGGACGGCGGGCCTCCCGGCAACCGCACAGGCCTTGGCCATCTGGATTGCACGAGTCAACATGACGAAGACGGGAGAACAAAAGGGCGCGATGAGTGCACAGCAAGTTAGCTTGAGAGCGGGATGCTGTCGGGTAAGAGCTTTATGTATGGCGTCTGTCATGCGGAAAGTGTATTCCTCCGTTTTCTTGAGTGCAATACCTCTACCTGGAGCATGACGCCTGTTGCATGTGCATTGGAACTTCGACAATGCTTTACCGACTCCAGCATGGTTTGTGGCCACTGTCCAAGGTTTCTTCAAAGGATCATTGTCTTGATTTACCATTCCAAGAGCACATCCATCAAAATGATATGCAATCATCCCATAAAAGTTCAACAGCTTTGCAACTTTGGTCAATTTCCAATATCGACATTTTCGTGGCCACTCGAGTGCAATGTGTACTTCACAGTTCAACATCCGAAGAAACGATTTCAAGGAAATCCAAAGTCGGTCAAACTCTCTGACATGTTTCAACACCTTTTCACGTGCACTGGGGTTTTTCATGTTGATATACGTCCATGGTGTACCCCCCGTGCACGGTAGGCTGATCCATATAAATGGTTTCACATCACCTTTGAAAGAGTTGACGTACTCTGCAATCCTCATTTGGTTTTCGACTTCGTTCAGATCAAATTCTTCAGTGAACTGTAGTACTTCACAACCTTCGGACCACTTTCTGTTGGTTTGGCTGAGTTTGGACTCGGGATGACAGCAAACTTCAACGATCAGTCTCTTGGTATCAGACTTGGCAGCGGGTCCCCCCGTGCTTGGTGTGGCAATGATTGGAGGTGTGATGGCCTCCGACGCCGACGCCAAAGCTTTCGGTGGGGTAATCTTCTTGGTGGGGGTCAATGCAAGAAGTTTGACAGCTAGTTTCCATTTCTCTGCATTAACAAATGGTTTCGTGAGAATGTCTGCAGCTTGGAGCATGCTTGGACCATGGACTAGCTTATACCACCTTCTTTTAAACTGTTCCTCCAGCCAAGATAGATTAACTCGCTGTGTTTTGTCTGTATGCCGGAAAGTGGGTGATTTTCCGTTCTCAAGGATTCTAATGGTGGCCTGATTGTCCTCTACAAAAACACCTTTTATCGACCGTGGGGAAAACATTGAGATCATACATTCTCCCTCTTTCTCACGTCCTACGAACTCGTAGTCGGTGATGGCTTCACGGATTTCGACCGATTCGATGTTGTAGTCAGACTCGTAGGGACCATAGACCCTGAAGAAAGTCTTGCCGGTCCACTCCCCGTTGATCGGGTAGTCAACTTTGACCTTCCAATTGTCCTGCATGAAGTCAACCATTCCGTCCTTTAGCATCACGGTGGTTCGAGCATATCCGATACGCTTAAGGTTAATGAGTGACTTGGACATGTCAACGGGTGTGAACAAATGTGACCTTGGTTTTGTATGGACTCGGACGAGCAATCTTCTACTTCTCATGAATTGCCAGTACTCCCCATTGGATTCTTTTTGGGTTTCAATGTCATGCCTTGGCAAACCTCCCGGTATGCTGTCTTTTGGTGCTCTCTCCCCCCCCGCGTTCTGGAGGTATGCCCACAAACCGGAGGAAGGTAGACCGACAGCTCTGAGGGATACGTTTGCACTGACAACTTCACTTTCGGTGCTTGACATCGCAACGGCAGTTTGTTTCTTACTGAATGCTGTGAGCGGGAAGTAGGTATTGGGGCCTACAAGAACTAACAAACAACCACTGGTGGATCGATTGTCGTACTCCCCTGCATGGTCTGCGTCAGCAAACAGCCAAAGCCTACACTCACTAACCTTGTCCCCTATGAAAGCCCTTTGCTTGTGATCCAGGGTGGAATTAATGTAACAAATAAGTCTGTGCAGTGCCTTATCGCATTCTGCACTCCATTTTGTCACACGAGCTGCTAGGCCTTGGACGGCGCACAGCAAGTCGAAACGTGCCATCCTGGCTGCAAATAGCACTTTCATAAGGACCCTTGCGGCTATTGGAGCCAATACGCCTTTGGTTTCCTTCTCATCGGCAATGGGCCGTGCAATTCTTTCTTCATGAAATGGTGTGGAAACTTGTTTCAAAGGCTTGGCATCCCTGCCCGCGAGTGAAATGTAACATTCAACACATGATTTGAGGAAAGGCTCCATATCATATGTGAATGTAGTCACAGGTTTTTGCATGCAGGGTTGGTTCTCATACAGTTGGTCCATATAAGAGAAACCTTCCGCTCTAGCTTTCTTTTTGGCTCCGGACTTATCCCTCTTGATGGTGGCCATGGCAGCCTTTGGATCTTTGCATGATGTTGGAAAGAAGTATGTTGTGCCAACCCATGAATCATTGAGACTACCCCCTTTGTTCACGTTGGATCCAATTCCAATAGTATCCCATTGCTCAACTTCACTTCCATTGTTGTTACATGGGATTGCATTCGTGAATCTAAATGGGGCTAGTTGGCATGACTTAACCACTTCTTCATCGGGCAAAAATAGTTTCTTCCTTGGCTGCACATGGTGTCTCATGTAGACATCGTTGACGGTGTCGAGCTCCCAGAAATCCTGAGTCCTGTGGCACGCGGCGGCGGCAGGCGCGGCCGGGTCGGCCAGTGACTTGTCAAAGACATGAGCATAAGGGTGATCCTCGACCTTGAGCTTTACGTTGTGTTGAGCTACATGGTCGCATCCAAGATATCTATTGACTTCCCCGGGAGTGTCCATGTCAATCTTTGATGCAATCAAACTCCATCCCTTTGACATGTTTTCTTTGGGACCGGACATCTTAAAATCGTCAACATACACGACAAGCAACAATTTGAGCTCTGGATGGAAAAACACCGAAGGCCACCCTTCCGGGTCTGGCATGATAAAGCCCACTAGTTTCAACATGGCTTCACAGTACTGTTCCCAGAGTCCCCCCGAGTCGGGGTGACCGTAAAGAGCGATGCGAAGCAATACAACTGGTCTAATGAACTTACCATGCCACTCTTTGGGCCATCGATCGGGTGGCAGTTCCACCCACGTCTCCACGCCCTTCCATAAGGCTTGAGTGTAAGCTTGTACTCCATCATTTTGTTGGGTTATGAATCCCGGTTGAGCTCCGTAGGCATCTACTGCTTTGCCAGCTTCCATGGTGGCAGGCGAAGACCCTAATTCCGAGAACAGGGCAACATCGGCACTTTCGTCCTTTACATTGTTGCCTTGAAATACTGTTCTTCCTTTGAATTTTCGGAGTTTATCTCCTTCGGGTAATTCACTTCCCTTTTCAACGCAAATCTCAAAGACCTTTCCTACATGGACCTTCTTCCCAGTCTTCTTGGCCTTGTCGGCAATGACCTTCCATTCGGCCACTGTTTCATATTGCCAGGCCTTCTTCTTTACCAGTTTGTCCCATTCTACATCTAAGGCTTGTTGGGCTTTGGGATTGGCTCTAATTTCCTTTTTCCCCACTGGCCTAGCCACCAAAGTGTTAACGGCTTTCTCCCCAGATTGGATTCCAAGCCTAATACACTTAACTCGATGCTTTTGAGGGTTCATCTGGCAAACAGGCATAGCTGGGATGAATTCGTAGGATAAACTTTCATCCAATTCATTTGGTGATTCCTTGAGAGTTCCGATCATGGGTACAGCTTTCACTCTTCTGGCGCGTTTCTTTTCCTTTTCTTCCAGGGCTAATTTCCGTTGCTCATCTGCAATCGATGCTCTTCTTTCTTTTTGAGACATTGCTTGCCAAACAAATGGAGGGATGTCCTTTGGTTTGCTTGAATTCTTGTATTTTCTTGCTTTAAACCCACCTGCGTCATAGAATGAGGGGTCATTAGTCTTGATTCTTTCGAGTTCCCCTGTGATCGGATTGATTACCTCGACTTCGGCATCAGGTACAGCTCCTCTGATGGGCTCGTCCACACGGTTCCTCAGGTCGATCGGCTCTTTTGAGAATATTGTGACGATCACTTCATGAACCTCAATGTCCTTTTCAAGGTCTTCGACCGGAGGATCAATCTTCAAGTTTTCTTCGTGGACATGCCATGATTCATCATCTTTAATGCATGTTGTCCGAAACGGAAAATCGGCTGCATCAAAGTCGGGAGATGGACCTATACACTGATTGTCGATGATCCGAACATTCACCTTGCAATTGGCGTATTCGTACCATGCTTCCTTGTGATCAACATGCTTGAAAAATTCCAACCATCCCTGGTGATAGACTGCGGATGCACTGGATTGTTGTACAGGCTGTCCAGCTTCAATGTCAGTAATTGATCTCTTGACTGGGCCTGGCTCCCGCACAGGCTGAGCATCTTGCTCTTCCGGTGGCGGTAATGCATCCTGCTCATCACACAGCTGGTTTGGTTTCAAGCTACCGTCTCGGATGGCATCGGCACGTTTGCGACAGGGAAATTCAATCCTCTCGGGTACTGAAACCTTTAACACCCTCAATACTGTGACGGATTGGTCAAAATCTGCATCATTGATTTGCTTTAGAGAAGCTACTGCAAATTCTTTTCTCCAATGGAAGCCTGGATGGATGACATATCCTAGGAAGATACCAGGTTCAGTGGTCGGTTCGAACTTCATCTGTTTCTTTGGCTTCTTCCTAGGTCCAGTCCAATAGTCCACCTTACATCCAAACGGGATAAGTGGTCCTTCGAAGTCTGTTCCAAACCTCAGTTTCCATGGTGTGTCCTTTCCAGTCCCATCTGGTGCCGTGTCATGCATGATGCACCAATGTCTGGCAGCATAAGGCCAATATCCATGGTGAAGTCCTGCTTGAAGTAAATTGGCACGCGTTCCTTCCAATGTGGACCGCACGGCTCGTTCGGCAATGGCATTGGATGTCGAAATGTAATCTTTACTGATTTGATGCCTGATCTTCATAGCTCTCATAGCTGCTACAATTTCTGGGGCATTATCACTGTAAAAGATTCCAATTTTCTCCAAGTCATCAACGAAATGTTTCATTGCCAGTGTGGTGTTGGAAGTGTCACGGCGTGCAACGGGGTAAACATATCGAAAATCAGTGGCGA